GGATGGGGATTGGGACAAGGAGTAAGGAAGGAGGCTTTTTGATTTTTTTTTTCACCTGAAATAATCTGCTTGATTTTTTTTCAGTGTCAGTGTATTTTCATGAATGCTAACAAAATAAGTCAAATCAAAAGAATTTGCAATTTGTAAAAAAAGAATTTGTCTCTTACTACAAGTATGGACACATTTGGTGGAAGCCACGGTCTTTTTTTTTTTTTTTTCTGCAATGGGTCAGGCTGCTATTTATAACTTCGTCCCCCACAGCCATTCTGTGTTTCCCCCTTGGCCTTCAGCCAGCACCTCATCTGTCACAGTGACTCAGAAGTCTGCGACCCTGGGGGCCCCTTGTTGGGTGGGGTTGTGGTGGTTGGCCTAATATTAACCTTTGCTGTGCCCTGACTGACACCAGACAAGGAGGTGTGTTAGGGACCCCCCTGGGGTTCTAGACATCTTCCCACCTGCTCCTTGTGTAGCGGCAGCCCCAGTTTCCCTTAGAGTCAGCATCAGTAAATCCACGGAAGGGGACTCCTCCCCAGCGTCTGCAGTCCCCTCTTGGGGTCGGAGAAGCCTATCGCTGCAGACAGTCGTGACAGAGGTGAGGCTCTCCCGACTAGGGACACCAACGACGCCTGAGACCCAGAGCCCGAGCAGCCTGGACTGAGACCTTAGTCTCAGCACATCAAGACACTGTGCCTGTCTGGAGGGAGGAATTCAGAGGAGCCTGGGTCTCGAAACATTTGTTCTTGTGCTGCTGAGGGTGGTGGCAGCCCACAACTCCTGAGCGGGATGTGGCCGTGTCTTTGGCTGTCCAGTTCCCTTGTTTCTGCCAGTTTCTGACTCTCTAGCCTCCCTGACAATTCCCCAAACTCCCCCATAGCTTTCCAATAAAACCCTTCAGCTTAAATTAACTGGAGTTGGTTTCTGTTGTTTGTAACTAAAAACCCCAAATGGCATGCTTGCCAACACCACAGCCTACTTCCGTGCCTGTATTCCTAGTCATAGGAGATATCCCCAAAGGCCAAGGGTCAGGCAATTGCTGTTCACCGTGCAGTGGACCCATTGTTGACACCTGGAGTCGTGCTGCTGAACAGCTGGCCTTGGGGGTCGCTACACACAAAGCAGTCATTTTTGAGAGTAAGCTATTTGGTGTATTCATCGAAGGTGCCACCCACCACACTGTACATCTTGGTTTCTGAACATGTTTCCTGGTCGTGGAATAAATAGCCTGACATTTGGGTCACTAATTTGGAGCAGGAATCACTTCCTCTTGCAAAGAGCACCCCAGCTTCCTGAGGTGGTCCCGTCACAGCTGGCACTACAGCCAAACCGTCATAAGGCCCTTCCTGGTTCTAGGGCACTACCTTCTTTCAGCCCTCAGCTCCAGCTGGATCTTCCTACGTTTGTGTCTGGACTTCTGACCTGAGATGTCCTTTCCAGCGCTGTCAATTCTATCCATTCTCTAACAAGTCCTGTTTACCTGCCATCTCCCGAAAACAATGCTTTCTGATACTCCCAGCTCTTTGCCTCTCTGCGTCCTGTTCCTGTGAGTCCTTGTGATCAGGGGCTCTCCTAGGTCTGAGTCGTTCCCAAAGTCCTGGCACTCAGGGCTTGGCTCAAAAGCATTGAGCAGCATTTGCTGACAGGAGGCATGAATTCCTCTCCCAAGGTAGGCTTAGGGCAGGGCTGGTGTTTAGAGGACCAGGGAGGAGTCGTGGGGGCCTGGCCCCACCAGCTGCCTGTGACCCAGCCTCAGCCCCACCCCACCCCCAGCCTCTGCGCCACCCCCACTCTTTCTGCCATACTCTCGTGCTCACTGCCTCTGTCCCATTTTCTGTTTGTCCTACTGAATCCCCAGTGTTCCCGAGGCTGTTCTGAGGCCCAGGGCCAGTGACTAAGAAGTGGGGCCCAACTTGCAGATGGAGAAATACACAGCAAGCAGCCTCAGCACACCCCTCTTGGGCTTGGGTTGAACCTCTGACAAACACGGGGCTGATAGGGCAATTGTCCATCTGACATCTGGCCCCAGCCTCCTCCAACCAGGCCTGGCATGGAGCAAACCAGGTTCTGGGACCCCTGAGCAACACTTTCAGCTGGTCTTGGTGTTTGAATCCGTGGAATGGGACTCTCTGGCTAGGCACGTGGCTGCAGGTTTCTGTGGACCCCAGCATGCCTCTCATACTCTTTCCTCCCTCTGGACTTCGCTATCCTGATGAGGGTGGTCAAATGTTAGTGAGGCTTTATAACCCCTTACATTTAGATAAGATTTCCCCAGACCTCTTCACGTTCTGTGATGTTACTGGACCGACCTGTCAACCCCAGAAGGCGAACCGTAAGAAGAGGTGCATTCAGAAAGGTGGTGGTGGTACTGAAGGGAGGGCAAGAGTGTGTGCATGATGGGGGTAGGCAGCAGGGAGGTCTTCTCTGCCTCTGTCCCAGTCCCAGGGTGGTGAGGAGCAGGTAGGGGTCTGGTCCTCTGCATAAAACCCCAGCCTGACTCCAGCTAGACCTCGTTCAGGTGCACTGGCCACAGGCACCCCAGGCTACCAGCCTCCCCACAGCTCACAGAGGGACCAGGCAAAAGCAGCTTGGAGGCACCCAGACAAGAGGGTGCTAGGCATTTGGGTGGGAGGAGGAGGAGAAAGAAGACCCAGCTCATAGAGGAGTTCTTCCACAGCAGCTGAGGACTAGGAGATGGTCACTGGTTACAGAGAGCCAGAGAAAGGCGGCCTGAGCAGGGCCTGGGAAGGAAGGTAGGGACTAGGCAACAAGCACATGAAGACACATGGGACCCAGGGGAAACCAGCTTAAGGCACTACTCAGCCCAGACCATGTTTGTATTCAGCAAACATGTTCTGCCCTCTCTGCACTAGGAGCTGGGGATTCAGAGCCGACCAGTTTAGTTCAGCAAATATTTATTGAACTTTCTGCCTGTGGTGTGTTGGACCAGGGCCTGCCAGAGATGAATAAGGCTTAGTCCTTCCCTCAAAGAGCTCATAGTCTAGTATGGGAAACATACTTGTAAAGAGAGGATTGCAGTCTTCTGGAGGCAAACATGGGGACCTGGGAGCAAAGAGCCCAGTTGACTGTGCTGAGTAGGGGATGGGAGGAGCTGGAGGAGCTGGTCGTTGGAGGCATCTTGAGTGAGACCACTCTGAAAGCATGAGTAGACATTAGCCAGGTGAAGAAAGGGAGGGAAGGAAGGTAGGATGGCCCCTTTCAAGTGTTATCTCTCAGTGGGACTGTCAGCCAGTTTGCTTGAAGGGCCCTTGAGTGAAATGGATTAACATTTGA